CGCATTACTAATATCATCTGTTACATCAATCTCTTCTGTAAGCCCCATTACCATTGCTACTTGTTGTAAGTCAGCTTCCAATATCTAGGGCACATTCAAAAATAAAACCTTTTAAGCGAAAATAATCCAAAAATTAAACGCAAGATTTTCCCTTTTTATATCAAAAATAGGTTACCTTATACGTATAAACATAAACAGGGGTCTTTGTCTTTGTCCTGCTTTGTGGTTTACTGTTAAGTTTTCTGATATTGGAAGAACGATCTTGTTCTTCCCCATCAGACTCGACGTCATTCTTAATGTCTTGAAAAACACGCTCGGTGTTATCTGATTTGTTCAATTTTGGCGTTGAAATACGCGAATTTTCCTGTTTACGTATCTTTTTATCTTCATAGCGTCTCGATTTTTCAAAATCAGGTGAAAGATGTTCATCTTCCGCATCTGATACATCTTCCTTGTATGATATCTCAACCATTGTTGCTTCTTTAGGGGGATCGGAGACATCTTTAGATCTTTCAGATTCATCCGCCATACGACGAATTTCATACAAAGGAGGTCTACCTGTTTTGTTTTCAATAACGACATCGTATGATCAAATCTCAAAGTTCTATTTGGGCTCCTTGTGGGCCCAATAATCCTTTTGTAGACAAAAGTACGATGATTATTAAGATTGAAGAGGTATAAAGCACCTGCAAGTATGGCATCCACAGTGGCATCCAATCGATGATGAACACAACACTCTGTTCTAGAGATCATTTCAACAGCACATGAAAATGTAGGAGGCCCTTTCCTCTCAAGTATAGTCTTTTGCACTTTCCGTTTCCTTGCTTCATCATCACCAAGAGTCACACTCTACGAGGCCAAATTTGTAAATTTAAGATATTCTTTTTGATTTAAGTCAATCAGAAACACTCAATATATGAATGAAGTAAAATAAAAAGAAAAGTTGAAATGAATCACAAACCTCAATGTCACCAACAAGGATTTGAAGAGAAGGGTTTTTGATTATGCTTTCTATTGTTACTCCATGTGCAGTTGCAACAAGCTGAACTCCTCTTTGAGCAATTGTACTTGCTGCCATAGCCTCAAGCTCTGTCCCAATCTCATCAATTATAATAGTCTGAGGCATGTGATTTTCAACTGCTTCAATCATCACCTGTTAAAACATTCAACAATATTGTTGCATCAAATTACCTACATATTAATTAAAAGTAAATCAAAAGATGAAGTTTAACAAAAAAAAAAAAAAAAAAAAACACACACACACATTGTGTTGCATATTAACATTTGGAACTTGCATCCTTCTTGCACGCCCTATACCCGAATGTGGAACATCACCATCTCCTCCAATCTCATTTGAAGTATCTATTATCACCACACGTTTTTTTCGCTCATCTGCCAACATTCTAGCAATTTCTCTACATACATAAATTCAAAGAAGATAAGATTTAATTAAATAACAGCAGTCAAAAGTTAGCAACCCCTGGGCTGGCCCACACTGTCCTGCCCAAAGCATAAATCAGGTATACAGTGGTCCACTAGGTGACTGACATATAATACAGATCCACATTGAAACTGAAACTCTCACACTGCAGCTGCTGAGACTCAGAACAGGGTATACCTTATTAGGGTTGTTTTGCCAACCCCGGGCGGTCCTATAACCAAAATGGAACCGCTTCCTTCAATCAAATCACGAATAATTTCTGCACTACCGGAAACAGCTCGACCCACACGACACGTGAGACCGATTATTTGCCTTTTGCGGTTTCGAATTGCACTTATTCGGTGTAAAGAATGATCAATGCCTGATCGGTTGTCATCCGAAAATTCACCAATCTATTATAAGGAAAGAAACAAGATATATAAAATATATATTAACAACCTTAATTTAATAATACAATAGGATCTTAGTCGGTTATCTTTCTATATAGGACAAAAAAAAAAAGTTAACTTCTTTATTTTAAACTTCAAATCAAATTATCTTAATTGTGTGCATAACTAAATAAGAGTTCTTTTTGTAATTTAGTTAATTAACCTTTGAAATTGCATGGCGTAGATCTTCAAGATTGACAGGCTCATCGGAGATAATCCAATCTCCTGATGGGAATCTAGCAAGGGGCTGTCTACCCAAATCCATCACAACCTCGATCATATTCCCAATCTCTGAATGTTCAAACAGCTTATTCCTCATCCTTAAGGGCACCAATTCAAGAAAGAGATCGAGCTCCGATCCGACTTGGGATTGAGATGTCGAAGTCGGATTCGAGGAAGGGGATAAAAACCCATTTCCAAGAGATGACCGATCTCTCGGTCTGCGTACTTCCGGCGATCGAATGGGTGGCACCGATGATGACCTCGTGGAGGAGATCCTACCAGTACCACCACGTGTTCGACGAAATGCCGCTGAGAAGGAACTTGGGATTTTGGAGGTTTGAAGGTAAGCAAAAGTTGATGCTGGAATTTGGTTAATTGATTGCCATGACGTGTTCAGATCAACAAGCACAAAATGGGAATTCAAAGCGCTCATCGTTTTCTTTATTTCTCTCTTTCTTTTTCTACAAACAATCAAGTTTGCGTGTATATATGTACATAGAGAGATAGGTATGTGATATTTGAATGGTATTGAAGGAGAGAGTTGAATCGAAAGAGGATCAGAAATGAAAACGAGAAGATTCGAAGGTATCTTCCTCTTCCATTGAAGACTACGAAACAGAGAGCAAGCAATATACGACAGTTGAAGCCATCCACGTGTTTAGGGAAGAATTGCTCACCACACATCTCTTTGTTTTCTTGCTTCCACTCTTCTCTCACTTACTTTTCCTCGTTGAAGATTGCACCTAACGCCCCCTCATATTTTGGAATAGAGTTTAAATCTCAAATTCAGTGAAAAGAAGGTATGTGACTTTATTTTGTAAAAGAGTAAATTACACTTTTGGTTCTTGGTTTACATTCATTTGCAGTTTTAGTCCGTTTTTGAATTTTTTTCGCATAGCTCGTATTTCTAGTTTTCAAAAAGCCGCATGTATGGTCCCTAAACTAACTCCCCCAATTAGGGTTGTAAACGAACTTAACGTTCATCGAACAGTTCATGAACCGTTCGGCGGGAAGTTCGTTTATGTTCGTTTATTTAATAAATGAACGAACACGAACATAAATTATCGTTCGTTTAGTTAAACGAACGAACATGAACAATGATCTCGTTCGTTCAATTATGTTCGTGAACGCTCGTTTATGTTGTTCATTTAAGTTCGTTTATGTTTGTTCATATAAGTTCATTTTATATTCATATATAATTAATCGTGTTTGATTACATTACTATATTATATGTTCATATATGTTCAATCATGTTTTTTTTATCTTTGTTCGTTTACGTTCGTTTGTTTATGTTCGTTTAACTTGTTCACGAATATGAACAATGTAATTTGTTAAACGAACAAACATGAACAAGAAAATTCGTTCGTTTATCCGTTTCGTGTTCGTTCATTTGTTCGGCTAACTTAAATGAACAAACATGAACAAGCCCATGTTCGTGTTCGTTCGGTTCGTTTACAGCCCTACCCCCAATTATCATTTTTGTTAAGTACGTAGGAAATTACAAAAATGCCCCTATTTTTGTATTTTTTTTTTTAATTTTATCATTTTTAGAATGGATAATGACTTAAAAGGGTAATATACTTTTTAATTTGTACACATTTGTTCATTAAGTTTTTTTCGTCCACATTTACCTCCTTCAACTTGTTAAACTGTGCACATTTAGCCCTAATGACCGACTACTCCAGGTAAGCAGGAAAAATTGACTTAACAGGATAATATATTTCTTATTTTGTACATATTTTGTCCTTAATATTTTTGTGCACGTTTAGTCCGTAATAATTTTTTTTTTTGTAAAATAAGTATTTGTTGTTTTTGTACGGACTGATTTCTTTAGGTTTTTCTCACGGCATCCTACTACGTGAAACAATAATTAATAAGGTGTTCGGTGTTGTTGATGTTTATGGCCACCGCAGCCTCGACTGGTTGGTTGCTTAGGTCTTATGGTTTAGCTTAGGTATTGTGTTCTGAACGTCGTTACTTCTACATATGATCTCGGATTTTAACGATGTTTATATTCACGTGTTCGTATTTGAGTCTACTACAACTTTCTCTGCAACAATCATTTAAGATGTTCTCATAAATGTTAGTTACTAATGCTTTAAATCACTAAACTAACCGGAACTGGATTGGGTCTTGTAATAAATTGACATTTTTTTTATTAAACCTTACAAATGATTACAAAGGATATCGTCAAGAAAAAGTTTGTAGCTTTTTTCTCTCTTTTTTGTTTAGTTTTACTCGGTGTTGTAAAAATCTCAACTTATGGGTCACATTTGAGTGTTTGACAGAGTCTCGAATCAAAAGTCTGTAAATTGTTAAGAAACCTTACATTTTGTTAACCATGAAGACGTTGAAATTATCGAGTACTAAACGATTCCCTTTGATCAAACAAACCCATCATTTTTAGGCTAAAACTAGATCTATGATCTTATAGTATTAAGTTCATCATTTTTAGGCTAAAACTAGATCATTTTTAGGCTAAAACTAGATCTATGATTTTATTTCATTATTACAAGCCAAATTATAATTTGTACATTACTTTCAAATTTTTGTTATTATTTCGCGAACTGTTACCGCTTTTTGTATACTTGAATAACCTTGGTATACATTATCCCAATTTATGAACACTTTTATAAAGTACGTATATGAGAATTTATTATACCCCTCAAGCTCTATTTATTTTCGGTCATTAATTTAACTTTTCACTTAAAAAAAGGACGTATAGTACCAATAAATTTTTATTTTTTTCAATATTAAACAGTTTATAAAATAGATTTCTTAGTTACATAAGACAATCAAAATAGCTATTCATCAGTGCTCAATACTAACCAAATTAATTAACTTAAACACTTAATTTAAGTTAACAATAACAATATAAGCAATAAACTTTTTATTCGAAATAGTAATGTGCTTACATACTTAGATTCCAATTTCAATATTGGCATAATACTTAAAATATCACATATTTGCTATTATTGATAAAGAAATACAACTACACTGCTATTTTGAGTAATAAATTATAAGTATATTTCCTAGTTTGATTAAAAAAAGTGAAGTATGTTGCTATTTCCTACAACTTGCCCTAAAAAGGTATAACACAAACAAAATTGTTCAACCATACATTGGGCATGGAGTGCAAATTTAATGACCAAAATAACCCCCATATGACCAACTTATGGATGAAGGAAACAGGTTCCAAGTGAAGAGTCTTGTTAAATTATTCCTAAATTTAAAATTTAGAAATCTATTATAGTAGGAAAATAGGTCAAGATTTCACGTAATCTTCCCAACCCAGTTTTTCTAGCTTCTGGGTTTTTTCCAATACAGCATCTCTTGCATCTTGTTGGAATTGTGCCATTCTGTAAAATGACAATTATGCCCACGTCAAGATTTTACTTTGTGTTTAGATTTTATCAGAGAGAGAGAGAGAGAGAGAGAGAACCTTGCTTGGAGGGCAGTATCGGAAAGTCCCAAGATTCGGAGAGCTAACAAGGCTGCGTTAGTAGCATTGTTGATTGCAACTGTTGCAACAGGAACTCCTCTTGGCATCTGCAAGACATAGCATTTATTTCAGTAAAATTTAACATCTTACTTTTATTTCTTTCTATTAAGGTTTTGTAGAATACTATAAAGAAATAGATGAAAGTAGATTGGTGTATATAATATAATATAATATACCTGAACAATTGAGAGAAGGGAGTCAAGGCCATCTAATGCAGAAGCACGCACAGGTAAGGGTGTCAATGCAGCTACCATACCTAATCACAAATTTTGGGAAAAAAATGAAAAATATAAAAAATTGAAATTGTTGTATTTGGAAGAAATAAAAGTGTAAAGTAGAGAATTAAAACCTGGCAAATGGGCTGCACCCCCTGCACCAGCAATAATAACTTGGATGCCTCGTTCTCCAGCAGATGAAGCATATGAAAACATCAATTCAGCTGTTCTGTGTGCTGATACTATTCTAACCTGAATGCAAAAAAAAAAAAAAAAAAAAAAAAAAAAAAAAAAAATTCTTATTAATTACCCAAGTATTGCTTTGTATTTGTAATAAATAAATAACAAATAATAAAAGGCAAAAGATGAAGAAATAACAATAACCTCAGCAGACACATCAAAATCGTTCAAAACTTTGGCAGCTTCTTTCATCACCGGAAGATCTGAATCAGAACCCATTATGATTCCGACACGTGGAGCCACTGCATCAAACATTATGAGGAGAGAGGGTATTTACGTCTTTTTACATACACAAAATTCCACCTTTTTCGCTACACTTTTTGTCCCATTCGTAATTACAAAAACATACCTGGAGTGTCATCTGCATTGTCTTCATTTACAAATGATTTCAACCGTTTTTCCACAATTCCCATTGATGGGCCCACAACCGTGATGTGTCCCATCTTCCTTTGCTTTCGCATTTCTATAATAATCACAAAGAGTAAATTACATACCTGAAACTATTTGCAATTTTGGTCCTTGTTTCAGGATTTTGTAACATTTTTAGTCCTTATTCTAAGAAAATGACGATTTCTGGGTCCAAAATTAGTCATTTTGCTTTGAACAAGGACCAATAAATTACAAGAATCTCAAATGAGAACCACAATTTACTCAGAGACCAAAAATCTTAATTATTCTATCATTAATAATATACAAAGTAAATTACATTTCTAGTCCCCAAGTATAGCAGATTTTTGCAGTTTTGGTCCCAAAATTCGAGGTTCTTGTAACACTTTTGGTCCCTGATTATAGCTGATATTTGCAATTTTGATCCCAGCAATATAGTCATTTTACTTGGAACAGAGACCCAAAACCTCAAATCACGAAAAAAAAAAATTTGAAAAATTCAGCTACACTCAGGGACTAAAAATGTAATATTTAGTAAGTGCCTGATTATAATTTATATTAAATAAAATAAATACCTACCTGGTTTATCATACCAATGAACAGATGCCCCTGGAGTACACAATGCCCTTCTAATAACCTCATGTGCCAAAATAAAACCTCCTTCTCCCTATACAATATTAAATACACTTTTCTAAATTTAATATTCATCTATTGAAAAATTTAATAAAACTTATACTTCATCTTCACCTAAAATGTTATACATGATGCCAGCTGGCACCTTCATTGATGGATCACCAAGAGGAAGACCAACAACTGCCCTCAAATGTTGCTCATATTGTGAAGTGTAACAAGATTCAATTGTATGGTGTCCACTATTATGAGGTCTAGAAGCAACTTCATTTAATAAAATCTGTATTCATTCAAACATTATACATTATAATTTAACATTTTCAGTAATTTTACCTATAAATAAAAATGAAAAGAAAGAATTAAGAATTAATAACCTGGTCATCTTCTGTTAGAAACAACTCAACTGCATACACACCAGCACCTTCCAATGAAGCAACAGCTTTTGAAGCAATATCAGTTGCAACTTTCATAATCTACCATGACACATTAGCAGGAGACTTAACAATGTGACATATGTTAGTATTCCACACCTATGTAAAAAAAAAAGTTAAGTTAGGTTTGGAAATGTTGACCAAAATAGGATCCAAAATGTTGATTTTTATTGACATTTGGGAAGCTGCTTGACAAAGCATGCGTCCTAATTGTCCTCCACCTAAAACACCCACAACTGTTTCAGAAACTCCATGAGCTGATGCATTCTCCTTCCTACATTTTTGAAACTTAAACAGGGTTACAAAATAGAAACCCTAGATTCATGAAACTATATATAGAAAAAATGTTGTATAAGTGTAATATAACCTTTGTGAAAAATCAGTTTCCATGGATGCACGACAAGTTATGGTGTGATTAACTTGTTGGTTGATTATTGAACATGAAGAAGAAGAAGAGCATGAAGAAAAAGAGGTGTTGTTGAAGTTCCTCTTTTGTAATTTATAATGTAAGGCTGAAGTAACACCAACTTGATGGGTGGGAGTGTTGTGAAGGAAACTGCTTGGGCTCAGCATTCTTGTCACAACACATTGGAGAAAGTAAATTTTCTTATGTATGTTAGATATTTAAAGATATTTCAGAGTAAATAGTACTTACAAATACATAAATATGGAAGAATCCAATAACTTGTGAAAAGAATGTAGTTAAAAGATCCTCAAATACCTGCAACAATGTGAGCACAAACATGATACTAAGTTATAATCCCATTCCATCTTGTGTTCAATTATGACTCTCGTGGATTAGCCTAATTCCTAAGCTAAACAGTTAAGTTAAGAGTCTAGCAGAAGGTTTATGACAATTGGAAACGATGAATGACTATTCATATTCAATTACAGGAAGGAATTTAACCAAGAAATTCAAGACAATGCGTCGTAATCAATTTCACACGTTTCTTAAAATTGGGCCTAATCTTCTGGAAAACGAAGATAGAATGAAGAAAATGGTCAATTCCGCATAAACAAAAAACATGCAAAATCAAACTTCCGGAACCCATTTGTAAATCGATTATAGTAAATACGATGTTCTAGTAGAGATGTGAAGCATAAATCAATCAAATTTGGGGGAAAAGAAGTTCATTTACTAGTGAAGAATACTTGCCGGTGGTCAGCGGAGTAAATACGCAGCAGTTATGTACGCCGTCGTGAAGAAACCTAGCGACAGAGAGACGGCTAGTGTTTCTGTGAAGAGGGAAAATGAATATATTTTTTAACCTATTTGTTCAGATCAGAACCCTGTATTTTGAACTAATAACGGACTGGCCCTAAATGTTCTGAAAAACTACAACTTTGGTCCAGTCATAATCTCTAACAGATCAAAATTGAGAAATTCTATATATACCCCCAAATTTGTTTGTGTGCCCCTCGTGATTGAAAGATTTATGTGAGTGAGTGATACGAATAGTAACGCCCATATTTAGTATTAACAACTTTATAGGATTCAAAATCTGTTCTATCAATGATCAAGTCTATTCTAACACTATTTGCAAAATTGCATCAATGTAATTTGATTTATCGACTAATTCTTACTAAAACACAAAGTAAAAGCAACCAACCACATTAAGATGATTTATAAGCCAAAATATGTACACATTAAGCTGCACATTGTACAGGATGATATATGGTGTATATACGATCGGGGTCATGACTCATACCCCCTTACATACTATATTCTACACTTGATTGCATTGCTAACTTGTACTATACAACTTATCTATTATACTAATACCCTTGGATTCATGACAAATTTCTAATGTACAACGATTCTATTTCCACTATCATTCCCATCCCATCAAGTTTTTGACAACACACTCTTTGATCGTGCTCCTTGGCACCAAAGCCACGTCACCTTCATCTAGAAGTACCCTATAGACTTCCCATTCTCGATCATGAATTCTGTGCCTTGCAATCTCAACCTATGAAGAAATAAAATCAATTGTTAACACAAGTAGCACCAAGAGAGAGTCATCTGTTGACTAAGAAAGCTTTTATGGCTATTTTTGAGGATGACGGGGGCATTTTCGTCTTTTGTACCTACCGAGAAGATTCGTATACTGAGACTTGTTATTGCAAGTGTGATGTCATAAAACACAAGTGGCCGCCCTTTTCCAGCAAACTCGACCGGGTTAGCCACCAACAACTCGGTATCCGGACCACGACTCATCACTTCCACTCGAAGAGGTCGAACAAGTTCCATTCTAAGACGCGAGCAAATCACCTTTTGCTTCTCGGGGTCCATTATCTTCTTTCCATCTACTTGCATTATAAACAAGTCCACTTCATAATCTTTCGCTTTCGCCGTAAATCGCCCATATGAAACCTATCACATTATAAAAAATCATCAATTCATTTCATAAAATATTTCTCCAAAACATGTTATTCTTCCAACAACCCCTCAGCTGGCACACACCACCCTGCGAGTAGACCTGACAATTTGATACACGACACGATTGACACGAACACGACACGAGTTTTCTGTGTATGAGTTTTAGAAATTCGTGTTTCATGTTTACTGGTGTCGACATGAATTTTAAAATTCGTGTTTCGTGTCTTACACGTGTCAAACACGATTTTACCTGTTTAAACACGTACAAACACAAATTTAATTCGTGTCGACACACGACACGTATAAACACGTGACACATATAAACCAAGGTTGTAAAAATCGCTCGGCGGTAGCTTGGCGGTCGACTGGCGATAAGCGATTAATCAGACTCAGCGGGGATTAATCGGGGACCCTAAATTATTAATAAAATTATTTAAAAAATTAATATTTCCTTAAAAAATTAAGTATTTGGAAATTTTAAATTTTAAAATTTTGAAATTTTAAAAATTTTAGTATAATATTTTAAAATTTGAAAGCTTAAAAATTTAAAATTTTAAAATTTTGGTGTAATATTTGAAAATTATTTTTTTTTGAATTTTTTAAATATTTCCCGCCTATGACCGCCGAGGACCGCCAAGGACCGCCAAGCCCGAGTTTGACCGATTTTGACCAATTTCCGCCAAGCACCCTAATCGTAATCGGTTCGAGGCCGCCAAGCGATTAATCGGCCGCCAAGGCCGATTTCTGCAACACTGATATAAACACGTATAGACACAAATTAAATTTGTGTTTATTCGTGTTTTCATGTAACACGGTTAAAAACATGTCATTTCGTATCATGTCACGTGTCACACAAATTAATTACGTGTCATGTTCGTGTTTCATACCCAAGACAAGTTTTACAATTCATGTCGTGTTCGTTTTTGCCAAATTCATGTCGTGTAAATTCGTGTCTGACACGTATACACAACACGCAGACACAGATTGCCAGGTCTACCTGTGAGGGCATCATGTGAGATGTAAATCAGGTACACAACAGCCAGTCTAGCATAAATTAGTACCTGAATGTTGTAGTCTTTTAAGGTCCGCATGATGTCATAGATCAAGCCTTTATGATCTTGGCAAAGTATTTGCATGAGAGTGTGCGAAGGACTAAGCTCGTTGTCGAATTTTACGGATACACGTTTAGAGATGAGTGCATTGTCCATGTCATCTGTGATTGCAGGTGGAAGAAATGCTGATCCTTGAGGGTTAGCTGTGACTTCATGACCAGCCAATTCGATCTCAAAACTAATTATGTTATCTCCTAACATCGCGTTCAATTGACTCTTTGTTTCCTCTTGTCGCTTTTTTTGTATGAAGAAGTTCTCTGCTCATTCAGTGAGGATAAGAAGGTCGTTAAGTAAAAGATATACCAAATACGTAACATTTTTATTGTTATAATAATAGTATGTTGTTCTTCTTAATAATCAATGTAAAAAACTCGTGTCCATATACTTTGACTTTTGAGGTCAAAATGACCGATGTGTACCTTGTATCTGTGACAAACAGAAGGTCCATCACTGTCCCATCTGGCGCTGTAAATACTTTTACTCTCTTAACTGAAAGCTCTAGCTTGCAAAGGACCTTTGTTACATCTATAAAAGAAATTAAGAAAAAAAATCCAATGAGATTAAAATATATAATATCGACTTGCCTAGTTGCCTTTGTACTGATTTAAATATATGTAGGAACTAGGAAGGCTTAAATATTAAAGGAATCTAAAGACAATTTGTGTACAACTTTACAAATGATCAAATACAAATGAACAAAAAAAATGCTATCCGATCTTTCGAAGAAAAGGTAATTTAGGAACATCAATACAGTCATTGGCACTTGCTAAGGCAGATTAGAGAAATTTATTGTAAGAGACTTCTTATTCATTTTTTTTAAAGAATGGCGAAATAGAGAAAAAAAATGGTACTTCCATTGTTTAATCGATTTAATCATTTAACTATTTCCGTTGGTGATTAATATTTTTTTTACAGTTTAAGAATACCATTTTCTAGGTTACCTACTTTGGATAGTTGGTGGACATAGAAATCAGCTGCTAATGCTATAAAATGGTTGTTGTCGGGTCAATAGTTTCAAGTCCCTTTCAACACATATAATATATTGAAACAATTCTGTCATGCTATTGATAATATACTCAAGATAATGCCGACTCCCACATAAACAATTAATCTTCTTAGTCAGAGTAAGCTATATTTCTCCAGCTTTTTAAGGAACCTAGTTGCATTAAAAAATTGCACACGATGTTGACTATATCTTTGTAAGTTCAAATGAATGTGAAAACATCCTGAAAAGTGGGAAAGGAATCTTGTATCACTCTCTAAAGAATATTTAGATGACGTTGTTGGGTTTATTTTTCAAAGTGCAATACTATATTAGGAAGAAATGAGAGTAAGACGCTAGCATAAACAAAATCAATGAAAGTACATTGCTATTTCTTGCATTTAACCCTTTAAGAATACAAACCACTGTATAAACTCTAAGTAGCATACCGAAGAAAACCAAATGACATTGTCATACTTTCTAAAAACACGGTGTACATGGCTGCAGTATGCCACTATAATCACTCACTGGAATACTGCAGCCTGTCACACTTTCTTATCGTGTTTTAAAAGAATAAGGTGTGCATGGCTGCATTATGCCAAAATAACATTTGGAATGGCATATTACAACCAGCACGTATTCTTTTAAGGTTTTTAAAGAATACGGTCTAAATGGATGCAATATGTCATTGTAAAAAAACTTTGAATGACATATTGCATCCTGCAGACACTTTGAGTGGCATACTGTAGCTTACACTTCTTTCTCATGATTTTAAAGATTACAGTGTACAAAGCTACGGTATGCCACTCTAAACACTATAAGTGACATTATGTAGCCTGCACACTTTTTTGTCATGTTTTTTTAAAAACAGTTGAAATGTAAGCTAGACTTAAGGCTAGTTTGGCAATTTCAAAAGGTAGTTTTTGTGTAAGTAATTACGACCGTTAATTCATGTATTTTGGTTGGTTATTCCTAACCGTCATTCTTGAAGAATGTGTCGGTTATATATATATATATGTGTAACTTTGTAAAATTGTGGAGTAAATAAAATTATTCTTTGCATTCTACATATTTTGCGATGTTAAAATTAATATAATGTAAGAAGGTGGGGTACCATGTAAGAGGCCTTTCCGATCAAAGGTACACCAGAACTTTAAAAGGAAAACTTTTGGTGGCTTCGGCTGCTGAAACTCCGGCCGGAAGTAGTAGATCTCCGCCATTGGCAGGGTGCACGGTGGACATACTTCACGTAGTCTCTCTCTTAATAAATACCACCTGGTTGTCGGCTTACCCACCACCCAGAAAACCAAATAACACCATTTCCCATCTGTTGATGCATCTGTCAAAAAAAAAAAAAAATCGAAGATTTTATTTATATTTTAAAATAATTATCAAAATATAGATTTGGGATCGAACGTGGGAGACCGACAAAAGCTCTAATTAATAAATAATAAAGTTAATAACGGGATTTTTTTCATTTTAATTGACAACCAAGATCACAGAAATATGAATATATGCCTAAAAATAAAGTAAAGTTAATAAAGAAACAAAGTTTTGCAATGAATCAAAGGTAGTTTCAAATATTACACAAAAAAGTAAACATATATTCGAAATGCGATATAAAGGGTAAAAGATATACCTCCTTTAGCAATACTGAGGCCAAAGAGGAGAATAATTCGACACAAATCACAGCCAAGACCTGTTTTGTCTGGACAATTTACAGTGATTAGAGTCTTGTCTCCTGCTTTTTCTGCTTCTTTAATCAACACTGCATCATCATTTAGAATGCCCATTTACTCTCTCTCTTTCTAGTTTCCTTAGATGAAGCAGATATTATTTCTTGATCACACAAAGAGATAAGATTGTGAAGAAAAAAGGGTTCTTCTGTGTCTCGCTATCAAGAAATCTTGAAGATTCCGCCAAAAATGGAGGAGGAGACAAACACATGGAGGCAGGAGCTTACAAGTGTTGGGTATTTTGACTTCTACTTTACCTCTTGGATATTTTAATTTCTTTCCTTTCATTTCTTTTGATAATGATATTCGATATTTTAATCCTAGTGTCTTAAATTTGTGATTATGCATATTTAAATAAGTTATTTATAACAAAAATCAAACCTTAAACAATTACCATTTATTTTCCAATAACAAAAACCGATATTTTTATCTATTAATTATCAAGTCATTTGAGGGACCCGCGGATGGAAAAAGGAACGGCTGTTGGTTGCCTTTCCAAGATTTGGAAATCCTGAGTCTTTCTCCGATAGACAAATCTAGTGAATTATTGGGTCAATAAATAGAATAAAATAACAATTTAATTTAGTTGACAATTCAAATTAAACATGCTAAATAGTTATATTTTTTAGGGGAAAAAACATATTTCGATAGATAATTAATATGAATATATTCATTATATTTAGATATTTGGATATCCTCTCAAACCCTCCAAAGGTCGATTAGCGGCAACTCAAACCATCTTTAGCTCTATAGAGTATTAAACTAAAGCTAAGTAGCATTTTCAACCTTTTACGTTCACACGTATATCATCAATGTATACTACCAAGTATAATAAATACGTGTTACTAACCCAACCATAAGGTGATACAGACCCGGAGCCCACTACAACCAGCCCACAAGAATGTAGCCCAAACAATCGGCCCACTAGGAATAGGAAGCTACCACCAGCCTATTATCAAGATTGAAGTCAAAGCATGTTTTCCATTTTGCATAGTAAACTTGTTCTCGCCTTCTAAGACAAGAGTCAATAAGAAAAGCTAGTGCTTCTCTAAATTGTAATCTCTTTGGTGGAATTAAACTTACAAAAAATTGTATCAATTTACGTGTCTTCTTGATAAAAAGGTTAACATTTTTAATATTCAAACGTAAACATTAATTTATAGATTATTGGGTGAGTTATTATCTATATATATATATATATATATATATATATATATATATATATCTATATATTTGTGCGGGTGTGATGTGAATTGTTTATGCAAGGGGGTGGAGTTTATGCGCGGACTTTGGGTTGTATCCATGGATCTTTTTACACGATATACTTAAGTGTGTTGTTGAAGGTGTTTTATCATTCAATAGATATTTTCCTTGTAGAACTGTTCTTTCATTCTCTCTCAACTGTAGATTAGGGTTTTCAATCTAGGGTTTGTTCATATTCCGTGTTCTTTGTATAGATTCTGATAGATTTGTAATATGAGAGTGAGCGATTGTGTAGTGAGGTTTCAGTTGTAATCTGTTGATGTAAAACCATATGTTTCATAATGAATGAAATGATGATGTTGGGAAGTTCTTGAGTTGTTTACGTTTCTAAGATGGTATCAGAGCTTTAGGCTCCTTTGTTGTTCTTCGATGCTCGTTGAGATTTGTTCTTCTCACGATCGCTGAGGTATTCTCTGAATCCTTTTGTTCTTGTTTTCGTTTTGATTAACATAGATTTTTGATCGATCTAAGGGTTCTTCTAAACTCTTATTATTTTTGGTTCATAAACTGTGTTCTATTGGTTATTCGCTTCGATTTAGGGTTTTCTTTTGTGAATCGAAACGAACATCTGTATTTTACGTTTTAGATCCTGGTACTGCGAGGTTGTTGTGTGATCTTGCAGGTTTCTGTTGTGGTGTGTTTCATCGATTCGAATGCTGTCATCATCGGTTGAAACTTAATGGATTAATCTCCTAGTCTGAAATAACTTTCTTGGGGTCGAATTTCTTCACCGATAAACACTAGTAGGGAACATACAAAGAGAGTCGATTCCTTCTTGCCTCATCTCAAAAGCCTTGTGAGGATCTTCTTGTTCCTTTCTTCTTGTTTCTATATCTGTTCTGGGAGATCTTGGCTGTCTTGTGTACAACAGTTATTTTTACTTTACTATTACGTTTGCTTGGTTTATTTTTGCCTCTATACTGATTGTCTTGGGCCCCGACATATGTGGTGACCATCTGGACATAAGATCAGCGCAGGGGGAAGGTTTCTTTCTTGGTTGTTTTCTTATCTGTGCTTTATGGTTGGTGGTTCCACTGATCCGCCTGGTGGAAGTGGGAAGGATGATCAGATTAACTTTGATGATCCTCTCTACATTCACCCATCTGATAATGTTGTTACTTCAATTATTACGGCCAAGGTAACTGGTAATGAAAACTTTAGACTATGGAGAAGTTCTATTTCTAGGGCTCTTAAGGCCAGAAATAAGTTAGGTTTTGTTGATTACTTTTAAAAAGAGTAATGTTGATGAGTCAAAAAAGACTAAATGGAATAGAGCTAATGTTGTTGTTTGTTCTTGACTTTTATCTTCTATTTCTTAATCCATTTATCAGAGTCAAGCTTATTCTGAAGTTGCTGAGGATATCTAGGAAAATATTTTCGAAACTTACAATAAGTCTGATGGTTCAGTTGTGTTTAACATTCACCAACAGATTAGTTCTCTTAAACAAAATGGTATTTCTCTGTCAGATTACTTCAATAAGCTTGATTCTTTATGGAAATAATTTAATGGTCTTACTAGTTTTAACTGAATGTACCTGTGATGCTTCTATTAAACTCAAGGATCACTCTAATCTCATGAAACTTATGCAGTTTTTGTCTGGACTTGATGACTCATATAGTCAAGTGAAAAGTCACATTTTATTAATGGATCCTTTACCTAATGTGAAAACTGCTTTTTCCATTGTGTCAAGAGAAGAATCTCTTCAAAGAAATGGCTCTTTGACTTCTCTTCAGTCATCTCAGTCTGTTTCAAAGTCTCAGTCTACTGCTTTTAATAACAGGTTTAATAACACACCTAATACTAATAAGAATAAGAGTCAAATTATTCAGTGTAAGA